TCTAAGTCTTCCTTGCAGATGCTGCATTTGACTCGCATGTCTTTCGGATATGGTATGATGTGTTTGTCAATAAAGTGACGTCCGAGGGACCCAGGAGTCCCATAGCTTCTGACTCGCTGACGTTCCGGCAAACGAGGATTCCCTAGGCAAAGGAAACAGATAGTTGGCCGCTCATTTCGAGCTTTGATGCAGACAGACGCAATTGCGAGGGGAAGTGTGAGCTTTCCTTTTTCGGGTGAAGGGCATTCTTGCCTTTTCGCAGGGGGTGCACAAGGTAAGTCGTCGGTGGCGCGACGTTTCTGGGTAGCTTTTGATCGCCTTGTGGGAGTACCTTCTTCCACATCACAGAAAGTGATAACCGCGTTGATTGCAGCAATCCGGCGTTGATACTCCTTCTCGACAGTGGAGCCTGACATGGTCAAGATAGTGTCGATCAATATCGTATGCTGCGGAGTCATATATCCTGTCCGCTCCAGGGCACCCATAACCTCTTTATCCACCACTTTTCCAGCGAGTTGTCTCTCACTGTCAATCACTGGCTGCTCATTCTTATATCGTACCAGATTCTCACGGACCAGGCGGTTACGTTGTCGTTGCCACTCATTCCGAGCCACACGCTGTGCGCGGGTATGTCTCTGAGTCGCGCGCATGTACTCCCTCTCCCGCCGTTCTACAACGTCGAGCGACAGACGAGTGGGGCCTTGCAGTCCCTGTTTCAATGTCTTTTGTTGTAGATAATCGCCAAAATTTCGCTGGAAGTCTCCTTTCGCCATTTCAAATGCCCGCTTCATCATCTCCCGAACTTCTTTTCTTTCAATGACTTTCTTCTGCATTTTGCATACACTTGGAACCTTGTTGACAATGCTAGTGTCCTCTAATTTGTAAGGTCGACGGGGGTCAATTGACCGGCTCATGGACGCTGCAAACCGCATCAGTTGTCTCTGGGCCGGCAGTCCCCGAACAATCGCTTGAGCGTCAACGTGGATGCCCACGCTATAGTGTTTGACGAAAGTGTTGATGCTAGCATGCTGCAACATCACATTTTGGAGCTCATTGATAACATCCGCTGTTCGCCATGGATAACCACGTTAGTATGGACGCAGTCATTTCCAGCCCGGAGCAAAGTAAGAGAACTCACGACTATCATTAAATGCTTTTGCTGCCCCATAGCGAAGACAGTACGGCTTTGTGACCTGCTCGAATCCTGTAATCTCCCCTCCTCGCTTCATACGATATCGAAGTGCACCCTCCGTAAGTTGCTCCTCTAACGCGATTCGAATACCATCCGACTCGCGCAGGGCCTGACAGAATACAAACTGATCAAGAACTTCGTCTTTCAATTTCAATTCTTGTTCTCCCAGTCCATCCAAAACACCCAGGTTATACAAATTTTCGGGGCAGTCGACCACTAGCCCGTCTTTGGAGAAGTTCTTGAACGCCTTGATTCGAAATAGCATCCCTAAAAGAAACACGTGGGGGCTGAGGACTGATGTTGGGTCAAAGACGATCTCAGGAATGGGAAAAGTGTTCCTATTTTAACATGGTCTACCACCTTCAACGCTTCGAATATAGATTGCAGAACTTACTGTTCCTTCTTGCCCAAGAAGGTCTTGGTAAACTCTGGGGTCAAGTAAATAAATAACTGGAGACGCCCTCCGTCCGGATTACGGACGAGAGTGAGCATGAGGTTCCGATAGCGTAGATTTAGAAGAGCTCCTGGACGGCTACCGGTGATGGCGGCCAGCTGGCAGAAGAGGAGAAGTTGTATCCGAAGCCACCCACACTGGAATGTCATCTCTGTTGTTGACGGAAGCACGCGAGCAAACTCCGCCACGTCTTCGATATACATGGTCGCTTTTGGTCGCCGCCCAGAAAGAAGATTTCTCTCCTTGGCGACCATAGCCAATAACTGTGACGATTAGCTAATGCCTCAGATCCAGCATGACATAGATCCTTACATCCAGGATCTTGACGGTGGTGTCTTTGCTAAGGCCCTGCCCCACCTCCGCCTTGTAAACCAGATGCCACCACTTCCAGAAGGTCTCTAGCGATGTTTTATATTTTATCCCTGGAGTCCGACGGCCCTTTTTGCTTCGTTGCCGACCGCAGCGCCAGGAGAAAAAGGCCTTGAGGAATCGGATTGTCTCCTCGGAATCAGAGAGCCAGCCAAAACGTTCCACAGGATCGTGTTTTCCTTCGTAGCAGAACCTGGCAAGACACAACCTTTAACACCTGTCTTTAAATTCAAGCCTGACTACTTCTCACCGGTTCCAGTAATCCCGCGTATCGTCTAATCTGACTGGGTCTTCGGACTATAACGTTTTTGTCGGAGCTGCGAGACATCGAGAGACTCGGCCTCCTCAAGGTAGAGCAATGCGGTAAGCTCCCGTTCTTCCTCATTATCGTCTAGGATCGAATCATCATCAGAGTCATCAGAATCGTCACAGCTGCTGGCTGGCTCGGATGCACTCTCGGAGAGATTGTCAGCTGCGCCGTCCGAGAAGACATCCGGAACGTTGCTACTCGTGCCGCTGTCATCACTGGACCCGATCGGCTGAGGTGAGTACCGCATGGCAGACGAAAAGAGCACACGGGAAGGAGTTGTTGAATGTAGAAAAGATTGAGGATGATGGACGTGGTTCTCCAGCTGTTTTGGAACGGACAGTGAGAGATGGATCTGGGGGGGTGGTATATGTCGCTCGAAAGCGAAGGGGGAAAAGTGTAAGAGAGTCATGATCATCGAAGCCTTTATAGAATCAGAGCGAACAAGATGGTCGCCAGGGGAGCCGAAAATGGCTCCCCCCGCAGGAAAATGAGGTACGGTTGAGCGATGAACCAAGCCCTCAATGGCGGCGGCATGATGGTTGAACGTCAGGAACCACGGCCACAAGCAACAGGGGAAAACCAAACAGCGTTGGGCCGTGGTGGTAAGCCTGGTGGCGTGCGAATATCACACGTGACGCCAAGGACGTCGAAGCGTTAGTTGGACTCGGAAAGCGGCGTCAAGTGTAGCCGTTTTTGGCCGCTGGCTAACTGTTTCATCGTTATATGGACTATTTTAAAGAATATTAAGAAATAAATATTTTTTATTAAATTTTAATTTTAATTTTTCTGTGGGCGTTAATCCACTAAATCGCAAGTGGAGAGGCGAGAATCAATATTGTCACAGCAGCAATTGATGCAGCATCTGATGCTTCAATTTGAGCATTATCACTGTCTCGATCACTTGATTTCAGAGTTGGTCTAAGTTTTATTGTATCCCTGTTGCTCTTATGTCATTACTCAATCATATCATGTTATGTACTCTGCAGTATGTTTCCGTTCAAACTTTTTTGAAAATCTGCGACTACTTCTCGTGGCGTCACTTTAGCAGCGGGATCTTTTAGCTACCTTACTTGCAGCAGACGAAGGCAGCTGTCGAGAAAGAGCACCCATCAACACGTAGCGCAAGTAGCTTAATGAATACAGCGAGTGTTGCATTGAATGCGGGAGATAGTCCTGGACAATACATTTGTAAAAGATTGTCGATACCTTCATGAACCCAAGATGCACTTAAGGGTAAAATATAAGTCGCTTGTCGGAAACTAGTATGTAGACACTATTGTCCATTCCCGAGCTAGTACGAAGCTTTAAGGTACAGCAGTCCTGAAAACAGGATCTTCTAATATGCCTACCACTCTGGTTTGATGACTGTAATTTAGCACATGATGCTTCCGTGCTTCAGGGTTTCCCGACCCCTAGCGAGTCAGCCATTGTCAGCCATTCAAACTGGTATTCCGACTGGAAGTATTTCAAAGAAAAGATGACCTTACAAAAAGGAGATACCAATGAAAAGACTAAGCTTCAAGTGAACTTGAAGTACCAATAAACATTTTCAGACAACTTTAGTTGTGAAATAGTCGATTGATGTAGAAAACGAGGCGCGGGTGTCTGTTGTGATGGAAGCTGCATGTCACTATATGCGTGACGCGGCCAATTATTCGCCACCTGAGTGACCGCCACAAGCTTAACCACATAGTTTGAATGCTGTTAATATCCTTCACGATTGTCATAGAATCTCCCGCTCTGTAGAGCACTTAGGCAGTCCAAGTGTGGTTATCTTGTGTTTATTGGTGGAGTAGCCAGGCCAATAGGGGGTTTCAACCACGGGAGACTATGGATAACTATACCGCAACATCACACGACGGAAAGGAACGGATATGTTCCCAACGAATACGGAATAGCCGGCCACGAACGGCTATTAACGGTTAGCGTCGGAATGGACGGCCACAGCTGCCCGCGGTAAGGAAAGACATAACGTCCTTGTCAGAATGTCTGTATCATGGAGTAAGTCACCAGGGACGACAATATCGAAGACAATAGTGCAGGACGAAACACACCAAGGATGTACAACACAAGGATGCAGGTGTAGGGTGATGCAGAAGATGCAAAGGTATGAGACACAAAGTCAGATATGATGAATGAGATCAATAAACGGCATTGTCGAATTCGTAGACAAGGTCAGGCGAGTCGAGATTGTATTCGCATATCCACTGGTCGTGAGACAGACAGTATCCAAGCCAACAGACCGAATACTCTGCATACGGCGGGCCGGGGCCATGACGACGAATACACTTATTCAAGATACGCTCGACTTCCCATTCGCCAGACACTTCGTCAATGGCGGTAGGTTCATGCGGCTGTTGTCCGAACGGATCTGCGTACAGATCTTCTTTCGCGGACTCCAAGACATCAAGTACCGACTGGACAGACGTCTGGGGTTCATTATTCCGTGGAGCAGGTTCTAACAGGGCTACCGATATCGCAGGATATACACGAGACGTCTTTGGAAGTTCGCGATAAAACAGAAATTCGCCACGTTCGAATGATGCGGATTGGGCCGGAGCATTGATATCAAGCTTTTTGAGAACATCATCTGCTAAGGGCAAGTTGTATCCCTTGGGTAGTCGTAGGGACACTTTGTTGCTGACATCGGAAAATATAGGTTGATGATCTCGGCTATATTTATTCTTCATGTGCATCGCGCGTCGGGGTCTTGTGGATATTCTCTCAAACGAAAGCGTGAGTCGTTATTGTGACCATTGGTAGCATTAAGCAGTACTAACAATGATCAGTTCGTCGAGAATGTACGGCGAATGTGGAAAGAGATTCCTGGTGCATTTCAACAGCAAACAACCAACCTTCGTTTCTATAGCACACGGAATTCAGGCGACAAGAATACAGCAAAGTATGGTCTTATTTGCTATAAGAACAAGGCTTATCGACGTATTCATCGAACTGCTGCCAGCTCTCGAAAGAAAAGGCCTTTACCTGCTGTCCAGAAAAGACACCTGTCTTCGACTTCCAAGTTTACCAAGGCTCCGCATACTTGAGCACCTGCTGCTCGCTGTCGCTCCCGTGTTCAACCCAAGCCCACTGGCCGCAAGGATGGTTACTCGTCGAAAGTGGACACTGAATCGCTGGACGCAACCCTGAAGAATATTGAGAAATGGAGTTCCAGTTTAGACGATTTCTTTTGCGTGGGTAAAGACTCAAAGGTTGAATTCGAACATTCTCTTGCTGGGTCATCGTATTGTCGAAACTTGCAGGATGATCTTGGTTGTACATAGCGGTCAGATCAATCGAAAGTAACTTTTGCTAGTGCATGAAAACAAGAAAGGTTTCTTGTTCGTCGAGTAGATCGTCCGTCGTGAATAATAATGTAGTTACGTCGGTCGCATCCGATACTGGAATATAAAACATTTCGCGATTCTTGTTGATTACTGTCTTTCCAGCTGGAAATCGCTATACAGACCATCTCCATTGCTACATAGAATAAGTCGACACATTGAAAGACATCTGAAAGACTCCACACACCTGATCGATGTCCATAAGCGAAGCGAATTTAGCCACTTCATCTGCCAGTACGGATACTCCCTACAAGATGTCACCATCATTAGACGTAATACGAGTCACTTGTGCCTTTGTTCTCGTGTCTCTTAGAACCAGACATTTCATCTCTGCGAGGACTTTTCTCGCCTCCGGCGACAGGTCTCTCTTCATCTTTGA